AGCCGTATTCAGGATGGACTGAAGCGGGGATAGCCAGCGGCGAGGCAGGCCAGTGAGGAGGGAGTTGCAGTAGTCGAGTCGTGATATGATGAGGGAGTGGATGAGCTGTTTAGTGGTTTCTGGGGTTAGGAACGTGCGGATTTTGGCGATGTTGCGGAGGTGGAGTCTGCACGAGTTTGTTAAAGATTGGACTTGGGGCTGGAAGGATAGGTTGGAATCCAGAATGACACCCAGTACTCTGGCCTGCAGGGCGGGTTTGATGGTAGCGTTGTTGGATGTGACGGAGAAATCAATGGGGGGGTGGTGTCCGGGCTGGGGGGGAAGACAAGAAACTCGGTTTTGGAGAGGATTCAATTTAAGGAAGTGGAGCGACATCCAGTCTGATATGTCGCTCAGTAGGTGTGTGATTCGGGCTGAGACCAAGGGGGTGAGGTGGGGGGTTGAGAGAGAGATTTGTGTGTCGTCGGCATAGAGATGGTAGTTGAAGCCGTGAGAGTGTATGAGTTGGCCAAGGGAGGAGGTGTAGATGGAGAAGAGAAGGAGCCCGAGGACAGAGCCTTGAGGGACCCCAACAGAGAGGGGGAGGGAGGGGGAGGTGGTAGCATTATAGGTAACGCTGAAGGAGCGTTGTGACAGGTAGGATGAGAGCCAGGAGAGAGCAGAATCTCTGAGGCCCAGGGAGTGTAGTTTTTTGAGGAGGAGGGGGTGGTCGACTGTGTCGAAGGCCGCAGAGAGGTCAAGGAGTAGGAGCATTGAATAGTGGCCATTAGCTTTGGCGGTTAGCAGGTCGTTGGAGAGTTTGAGTAAGGCAGTTTCGGTGGAGTGTAGGGGACGGAAGCCGGACTGTAGGGGATCGAGGAGGTTGTTGTCGTTGAGGTGAGAGCATAGGCGGGTGTAGACTAGGCGCTCGAGGAGTTTAGATGTAAATGGGAGCAGGGAGATGGGTCTGAGGTTGTTCGGGTCATTGGGGTCCAGGGAGGGCTTTTTAAGTATGGGGGTGATGTGTGCATGTTTCAGAGGGGAGGGGAAAGTGCCTGAGGAGAGGGAGAGATTGAAAATGTGGGTGAGGGAGCGTAGGATGGAGGAGGAGGAAGGTCGGTAGGAGTTGTGAGGGGATAGGGTCGAGGGGGCAGGTGGTGAGACGGGCATCAGAGAGGATCTTGGAGACTTCCTCGATGGTAGTAAGGTCAAAGGTGCGGAGTGTGGGGGGAGCTTCAGTATGAGGAATGTGGGGTGGAAGAGGAGATCAGAGCAGTGGTGGGGCCGTGGGAGAGGGGTGATGAGGGGGTAGCTGAGTGAGGGTGAAGGGGGTGGAGAGAGTTTGAGCAGCGACGAAGTCCCTGCGGGTTATGTCGAGGGGGAGGGGGGGATAAGGGGGTAGCTGTGTGAGAGGGGACGGGTTGAGAGGGTGTGCGAGTTGCGGCAATGTCCTTGCGAATTGTGTCAATCTTGTTTTTGAAGTGATTGGCAATCTCAAGGGCAGTGAGTGAGGTGCTGGGTGGAGAGAGTAGAGAGTTGAAGGCAGAGAAGAGTCGGCGAGGATTGGAGGAGAGGGCCTTGATGAGGGTCAAAAAGTAGGCCTGTTTGGCAGCATGGAGGGAGGAGGTGTAGGTGCGGAAGGCAGATTTATAGCGGGTGAAGGCTTGTTGGGATTTGGTTTTGGCGCCATAGTCGCTCCAGGGCACGACTTTGTCGTTTGAGGGTTTTGGTGTGATCAGTCTGCCAGGGCTGGAGCGGTCGGGGTCTGATGTTGCGTGTGGTTAAAGGCGCTAGTGAGTCAAGGGCTGTTGAGAGCGCATTGTTGTAGGCGGTCAAAGCCAAGTCGGGGCAGGACAGGGGGAGGATGCGGTCGTGGAGTTGGTCAGCTGCAGAGTGGAGGGAGGCAGGGTTAAGGTTGCGGAGGTTACGGCTGGTAGTAGTGTGACATTTGGAGGGGTAGGCGTTGGAGGACGAGGAGATAGAGAAGGTGATCAGGTTGTGGTCAGAGAGAGGGAAGGGGGTGTTAGTGAGGTTGTGGGGAGCGCAGCGGTTGGAGAAGACAAGGTCCAGGATATTTCCGTCAGAGTGGGTGGTGGATTGTATGCACTGTGCAAGTGCAAAGGAGGAGGTTAGGTGGAGGAGACGGGCTGTGTCTGGGTTGTCGAGGTTGACAGGGATGTTGAAATCCCCAAGGATGATGGTGGGTAGCTCAGAGGAGAGGAAGAAGGGTAGCCAGGAGGAGAAGTCATCCAGGAAGCGGGGTATAGATCCAGGAGCCGGTATATCACAGCAATCTTCAGGGGGGTTTGGGGAGAATAGTCGGACGCAGTGGGCCTCGAAGGAGGAGAAGGATAGGGAGGGGGGGTTTGGGAGGACTCGGAAGGTGCTCTGCAGTGACAGGAGCAGACCAACCCCACCACCTTTACAACCGTTAGGCCTGGGTGAGTGGGTCCAGGTGAGACCTCCATAGGAGAGTGCAGCAGGGGAGGTAGAGTCAGTGGGCTGGGATCCAGGTTTCCGTGATCGCTAGGAGGTTGAGGGAGCGGGAAACAAAGAGGTCGTGGATGGCGGTAAGCTTGTTGCACACCGAACGGGCGGGGTTCAGGAGTGCACATGAAAACGGGGGGGGAGATTTTAGGGAGCAGGGGGACAGATACTAAGTTGTGGGGGTTGCAGTAGGACGTGGAGGTGGGAGGGTGTTGAGCGGGTGAGGGAGGTGGAGGGCCAGGATTCGGGGAGATGTCCCCTGCGGCTAGGAGGAGGAGAAGGGTGAGAAAGGTGGCATGGGAGCGGGATGTGCAGGAGCGTGTGAAACTACTAGTGGAGGTGTTGGGGTCAGTGGGAGAGCGGAGTAATAGGAGGAGGTGGTGGGTGCCATAGAGGGGCGAAGGAAGCAGTGAGGACACAATATACAATTGTTTGGGAGGGGCAGAGGGATATAGTGAATGGATTTTGGGAATGGAGGAGAGGAAAATGAGAAGGAGTGGAAGAGGCATTTTGGGGAGGTGAAGAGAGCAATAGTAGGGAGATGATAGCAGTGAGGGGGAGATGTACAGGTTGTGGGGTGGAGCAGAGGGGTAAAGAAATGAGATTTGGGAACAGAGGATAGTAATATGATAGGGAGAAGAGGGGTGTATTATATAAAGGTACACAGAGTGGGACTCAGGCATGTAAGAGGTTTCCCAGGGTGTTTGCTTGCAGTCTTCCAGCATGCAGTAGAGTTTCTTGCTGTTGTGTCTTCCTGCTGCTTGGGTTCTCCTGCTTTAGTTCAACTGCTGCGTTTAACTGCTTCTTCTATGCACTCGTTCTAAGCCGCACTCAATCTGAAGCAGCACCCCCATCAGAGACTGTGCCCCCCATCAGAGATCTCCCCCATGAGCTGATCTAAATTTATAGGGAGATGCTCAAATGAGCATTCAACTCCACCCCAATTAGAAGCTGATAAGGATCACATGAGTAGTGAGGGATGTTTCCCTCAGGAAACAGACACCAGTCGTAAAACGGGTGCAGCTAAAGGTGAGAGCGACAATGATCCCAAACATACCGCCCGGGCAGCGAAGGAGTGGCTTCGTAAGAAGCATTTCTAGGTCTGGAGTGGCCTAGCCAGTCTCCAGATCTCAACCCCATAGAAAACCTTTGGAGGGAGTTGAAAGTCCGTGTTGCCCAGTGACAGCCCCAAAACATCACTGCTCTAGAGGAGATCTGCATGGAGGATGGGCCAACATACCAGCAATAGTGTGTGCCAACCTTGTGAAGACTTCCAGGAAACGTCTGACCTCTGTCATTGCCAACAAAGGATATATAACAAAGTATTGACATGAACTTTTCATATTCACCAAATACTTATTTTCCACCATAATTTGCAAATAAATTCTTTTCCAGATCAGCCAATGTGATTGTCTGGATTTGTTTTTTCTCATTTTGTCTCTCATAGTTGAGGTCTACCTATGATGCCAATTACAGGCCTCTCTCATCTCTGTAAGTGGGAGAACTTACAAAATTGGTGGCTGACTAAGTACTTTTTTTTTTTGCCCCACTGTATATGTGTCTGTGTATAGATAGATATGTGTATGTATATATATATATATATATATATATTATATATATATATATATATATATATATATATATATAGGCACTGATGGGCGGCACTGATGATGCTGCACTGGTAGGCAGCAATGATGGGCACTGGTGGGTGGCACTGCTTGGCACAGGTGGGTGGCACTGGTGGGAAGCATTGCTGGGCACTGATCAGTGCCTATCTGTTCTCTGACAATTGCCGGTTATCGGCAGCACTTTTCTCATGCTGTGACAGCTTCAGGAAAGTGCAGCCGATAACCAACAACTGTATTTACCCGGTGATCTGCTGTGTCGTTGGACGCAGCTGATCACATGGTAAAAGGCCGCTGTGATTGGCCATTTACCTCATCACGTGATCAGCTAGGACACAGCAATCACAGAGGGTACGCACCGCTGGGGGTGCGTGGGAGGGTATCATATGACGCCCTCCCACAACTGGACAACTGCACTGTAGCCGTCATTTGACTATAACGCGGTTGGCGAGTGGTTAACTAACGTACATGGTCACTGCTGACCTAAGGTTGGCCTGTCCCTTCTGGGTGGGGGATGGTATTTCGAACGATCTATGAAACCTCTTTCCAGGCCCACGTACGATAATTCTGCCAGCAGTTTAAAAACTAAAACTGAATAGTTGCTGTTGGCCACACCCCTGTTGGCCACACCCCTGCTGTTTCCCAACTTTATAGAATAGACTTGTTGGTCTCTGCTCTCATCATGGGATAACTTGTAGCACATCGTTGAGTATTTTTCCTTTTCGGTCTATAATGTACCTTCTCTCATGTTTGTGTACTTTATTCTCACTGTCTTGGTTGTTCTTCCGCAGTGCTCCATTGAGTGGTTTCACTTTGCCTGTGTCGGGCTTGCTACAAAACCTCGTGGAAAATGGTGAGTCTGCCAATGCCATACTGGTTATGTAACCATGCGCTCATGTTCCCTGTGTCTGTGTGTTTCTTCCTTCTTATGGCTGCCTCTCCACATTATGCTTTGTTGTCTCACCCCCTCAGTCCGTCTTCTGGCTGCTTTGGAGGACAGCAGACACAGAGGGGGCCGCGTCATAGGACGATGGACATGGGTGGGGTGGTGGTGATTGGAAGACGACGGGGGCAGGTTGTGAGTGCATAGAAGACAACGGGCATTGGGGGAGCACTTTGGAGGATGACCAACACGAGGGGGGGGGGTGCATTGGAGGACTACAGACTTGGGGGGGGGGGGGGCGCGCATCAGGAAATGATGGGCACGGGGGGGCCACGTCGGAGGACGACAGTCATGGGGGGGTGGGGGAGCAGAGTGCGCATCAGAGAACGATAGACATGGAGTGGAGAGCGTGCGTTGGAGGCCGACGGGCACAGGGGGGGGTCGCTGCGCTGGAGGATGATGGGTATGAGGGGGTGGAGGGCACACATCAGAGGATGTCAGGCACTGGGAGAGCTGCATCGGAGGACGACAGGCACAGGGGGGGGGAAGAACTGCGTTGGAGGATGATGGGCTTGGGGGAGGGGAAACCTTGTCGGAGGATGACGGGCATGGGGGAAAGTCGAGTCGGTGTATGACTGGCACAGGGAAGAGCTCTGTCAGAGGATGGGCACGGGCACGGGGGGGAGCTGCTTCGGAGGAGGATGGGCACGGGGGGGGGGGAGAGCGGGCACGGGGGGGGAGCTGCTTCGGAGGATGATGGATGACGGGCACGGGGGGGGGGGAGCTGCTTCGGAGGAGATGACGGGCACGGGGGGGGGGGGAGCTGCTTCGGAGGATGATGGGCTTGGGGGAGGGGGGGGAGCCTGCTTCGGAGGATGACGGGCACGGGGGGGAAAGTGCGTCGGAGGTATGACGGGCACAGGGAAGAGCTGCTGTCGGAGGATGACGGGCACGGGGGGGGGCTGCGTCGGAGGATGACGGGCACGGGGGGGGGAGCTGCTTCGGAGGATGACAGGGCACGGGGGGGGAGCTGCGTTCGGAGGAGGACGGGCACGGGGGGGGGAGCTGCTTCGGAGGATGACAGGCAACTGCTGCGTTCGGAGGATGACGGGCACGGGGGGGGGGGAGGGAGGAGGATGGCAACGGTGTCGGAGTCTGAGGATATGGGGCACGAAGGGGGGGGAGCTGCTTCGGAGGAGGATGGGCACGGGGGGGGTCCTCCCTTGTTTTGTTTCCCTCAGAAATATCTCTCACTGCATCAGTCTTTGTCATTACCATTCCTTCCTGCTCCTCCGTACCATATGTACCATCCACTTGGCTCCTAGTGTCACCTTTCTGTCTCCTCCCCAACCCCCCCATCCCCCCAGTTCCATCTCTCTTTTTTCCTTCCTTGTCTATTAAAGTGGAACTTTAATCAGAAAATGAAGTCCTGCTAGATCACTTCATGCTGGTCCCTTTTGCAGGTGTAGCTATATGAAACATTAAAATATAAGTGCCTATACTATTTAAAATCCAGTAATACACTGGTCTCACGCCGCTCTGCACATGCTCAGTTGCTCTTTATTTAAGGCACTATGCTGAAAATATAGAGGCCGATCTGCTGACAGCCTAACGATTTACTGCTGCTCTGGGCTGTAGCAAAATGGCCGCCTCCAGCAAGAAGAAACAAAGACAATGCTGGAGGCAATTTACAGCACAAACTCATTTTGGTGGCATAATTATTAATATGGAATGTATGTTCCTTGCTAAAGAACATTATTTTCTATCAGGTTGTTATGGGTAAAGTTCTGCTTTAGCATCTCCATTCTCAGTCTCCTCTTTCTGTTCTTGCCCCAGCATCTTATTGTTGATATCATTCCTTCACCTAGTCCTTTGTATTTACCGCTCCCCCTCCTTTCTTCTCTCTAGGTATTGTCCACGCTGCTCCCAGGAAAGGAAGAAGAAATAAGCACAGAGCAGGCTCCCCTTAGGGGAGAAGAGCAGGAGCGCTGAGTATTTGGGTTGTGTGGTACCTGCATTTCTCTGTCTGTCTCAGGAGGAGTGAGTGCTGATCAGCCTGATGGGAGATATAGGCCATGTTTGTGACAGTATTAGACTTTTCCTCTCAGACCCTGCAGGAGGCGCACTCCCATAGTGACCGCATTCACTAGTGTTGGTTATTGGGACTACACACCATGCAGGGTCTGTCTCCAGCTTCTTATCTGGACTTCTGTCCTTCTAATTCCCCATGCCTTCTTTGCTGATCTCTCCCATCCACCATTTTCAGGCTAATTTATTAAGGCAGAACCAAGAGCAGTGAGGATATGAAATGCAGTAGCCCCCAGCAGCCATCAGAATGTATAAATTACAGTGGTCAGATTGCTGATTGGTTGACGCTGGATATTGGCCTCTGCCTTATTAGATGCCCCTGTTAATGTTTGGCCTGCTCTCCCCGTCCCATTGTATAATACTCCCAGCGGTTCTCTGTCTTTACCTTGTCCCATCTTGTAGAGTTCTTGGTTCTCCACCGCCTCTTGTACATTTCTCTCTTGCCATGTAAACTACCTCCAAAATTTTCTATTCCTGTTACAGATAGTCCTGCTGGGGCTTTTCTTACATTGTGACACACTCCTAAGCTGTGTTGCTATGAATTGTTTTCCTTTTTTTATTCTATATGAACCGGAAAATGGAAAAATGTGGTTACAAAACGCAAGCAGCTTCTGGTGCAACCCCATAGAAAAACACTACAAGTGCCATCACACTCCTCGGTTTCCTCCTCTTACATTGGACCCGAATGTTTACATCTCCATCTCTCTCTCCACTAAAAATGTCAACCTTTCCTTTGCCTTCTCATTTAACCTTTAAAGTTGATGTCTGGGGCTGAAGAATAAAGAATAACAGTATACTAAGGCTGCATGCCAGGTAATGTATTAAAATTGCGGCATTAACCTCTTTCTTAGTTTAATTGCATAGGTTGGTTTCCTTCCTTCTTTTCTTCCTCTGCCCTTCTTTCTTTTCCTCTGGCCCTTCTTTCTTCCTCTGTCCTTTCTGCCCTTCCTTTCTTCCTCTGCCCTTCCTTTCTTCCTCTGCCCTTCCTTTCTTCCTCTCCCCTTCCTTTCTTCCTCTGCCCTTCCTTTCTTCCTCTGCCTTCCTTCCTTCCCTCTCCCTCCCTCCTTCCCTTTTTCCCTTCCTCCCTTCCTTCCTTTCCCTTCCTCCCTTCCCTTTCCCTTTCCCTTCCTCCCTTCCTTCCTTTCCCTTCCTCCCTTCCTTCCTTTCCCTCCCTCCCTTCCTTTCCCTCCCTCCCCCCCTTCCCTTTCCCCCCCTCCCTCCCTTCCTTTCCCTCCCTCCCTTCCTTTCCCTCCCTCCCTCCCTTTCCCCCCCTCCCTCCCTTTCCCTCCCTCCCCCCCTTTCCCTCCCTCCCTCCCTTTTCCCTCCCTCCCCTTTCCCTCCCCCCCTTTCCCCCCTCCCTCCCTCCCTTCCTTTCCCTCCCTCCCTCCCTTCCTTTCCCTCCCCCCCCTCCCTTCCCTTTTCCCTCCCTCCCTTCCTTTCCCTCCCTCCCTTCCCTTTTCCCTTTCCCTCCCTTCCTTTCCTTCCCTCCCTCCTTTCCTTCCCCCCCTTTCCCTTTTCCCTCCCTCCCTTCCTTTCCCTCCCTCCCTCTCCTCCACTCCCTTCCTTTCCTTCCCTCCCTCTCCTTCCCTTCCTTTCCTTTCCTTCCCTCCCTCCCTCCCTTTCCTTTCCTTTCCTTCCCCCCCTCCCTTTCCTTCCCTCCCTCCCCCCCCTTTCCCCCTCCCCCCCCCTCCCCCCCTTTCCTTTCCTTCCTTTCCTTCCTTCCTTCCCTTCCCTTTCCCTTTTTCCCCCCTCCCCCCCTTTCCCTTCCCCCCCCTTTTTCCCTTTCCCCTCCCTCCTTCCCTTCCCTCCCCCCCTTTCCTTTCCCCCCTTCCCCCTTCCTTTCCTTTCCCTTTCCCTCTCCCCTTCCTTTTCCGGAAATAATGGTTCCAAGCAAAACAACATGCTGTCATTGAGTACTTGCAAAGGAGGGGTTCCCCTTTCCCGACATTCACAGAATAGGTGCACCTTTGAGTAAGCAAGAATTGGGAACCCCCCCCCCCCCCCCCCCACCCCCCCCCCCCCCCCCCCTACAATTTGAATGCGTAGTAATAAAAAAAAAAAAAAAAAGGTTTGGCCATTTTTCATTACTTTGGTACATGCCCTATTTGGTACATCTCTGCGATGCTTGCACAGTTCCCAAAGTTTTATTCATTTTTGGCTAACCCAAACCAAACCAAACTTCCAAGAAAGAGCCATTTTAAATGTTTTTAAAGCTTTAGGGGGGGCGGATTGTGGCTACGGTAGAAAAATGCCCCGACATCAATGTCCTTTCATTGGTTTTTTAAGTGAGGGAAAAGTTCCCCCTTGTGGGTCAGTAGGGGGGTGGGGCCCCCTCATTGGGGTCAGTTTTTGGGGAATAGTTCCAAGGGGCCCAAAAAAGGCAGGCAAAGGGCCCCTGGTTGCGGGGAAAAAAAATGGCTCTATTCCCCCCTTTAACAGTCAGTGTTGATGGGGAAATCCCTCCCCGCAGCGCTAATATGTTTGTGGCGGGGACCTTCTTTTCGGGAGAAAACAATGATCTGTAGCCCCAGCAGTAATCACAGGAGAAAAACCAACAAGTGGTTGTACTGAAGTCTATTGTGGATCCTACAACCAACCTGCCCATAGATAATCGGGAAACTCGCTGCTCTTGCTGAACCACTCGATTTTTATCCGTCTATGGCCACTTAAAAATTGTCCGTTTTCCCAGAAGCCCTTTTGCTTCTCCCCTAATGCTCCCCAAACTACTTTTAATTTTTTCTGGTTGTGGAAGGGTCTACGCTGGCCTCATTCCAGTGCAGTTTTACTTTAAAGACGTCATCATGCAACCACTGCCTAATAGAAAGAGGGTTTAAGGGTTTAGCTATTCATTACGCAGGATCATTTTTTTTTTGGGGGGTGGCTTAAAAACCCCCAATCCCCCCACTTTATCAGGGACGCTCATTGTGTTGGGAGCTCT